AAAAAAAAAAAAAAAAAAAAAAATATTGGAGACGAAATCGGCTTTGCCATACTCTTTTTCACATTACGCTCATTCCGTACAATTTCGTACTTTTGAACAAAAAGTCCACAGTCTGATGGATTAACACAACAGATTGGATAATCTCGTTACTGTTCGCACAAAACGAGAGAAAAATTAAGTCGTAGCTGTTCCATACTGAGTTCTACTTTCTCTAATTCGTCCGACGACGAATGATTCTCTCTTACTCTCCGGTGAAGCTTGATAAAAGTTTAATAAGACGCGCGGACAATTTCTTCTTTCTTTTTCGCGGCGAGGGAAAACAAAAGGAGAATCTCTATAATCCGATCTAAAATGAAGCGGGGCGGAATTCGTGGGTGCTCGTCCGCTAACTGTCGTGGAAGTTCGAAGGAAAAGGGCAGAGCGAATTCCCTGGGAATTTTCCAATTGCTGACATTCTCCTCAGAGGGAAAAAAAGTAAGGGAGAGAATGAGAATTTTAAAATGACTTTCCTGGTGGATTGGATATCTCGCCGATACGTGCGTGCAATGGCCTCCGTTAATATTCGAAGAGACACCAAATGTTTGAACTGTTGTAACTTTGTAAAAAGAAATCGTGCAACAACAGAAGTAAAGCTTCTATTATCAAAGTGTATCGTGTCACAGGACATTTTTGTCACAGTACGTAAAAACATTGAAAAATTCGATTTTATTTTTCAATTTTTGACAACATTTTTCATGCATTTTGTACATTTGTAGTTTGTTTTATATTAGTGTGTTTGCTTTATACATTTGTTATTTTATGAATTTGCAGAAAAATAACGCGGTTATTGTATCATTTTTTATAGAAAGGAAATCGATCGGTAATTTTTGGCAATTATCGGTTATCGTTGAACTGCAAATTTTTACATCTATGTTTCCATAAATAAAATACTTGGTTCGTGAAACAATTTTCAACTGAAAGTTCAAATTACACTTTCGGAAATATAAATTTGCATTAAAATCAGTTCTGATGTTTAACAGTATTTTTCGCTCGAAGGACTGATCGAAGAGACGAATCTACACAAGTTTAATCCATATTTAATTTAAATTCCAGATGAAATGTTATTTTTAAAAAATTCGAGTTTGCCGACTTGATATTTTAAACGCATTGATCGATTCAATAATTAAAAAACGTAGAAAATCACTGACGATTATACAAGCATTATTTTTTGAAACACATTTTAATTTTATAATATTAAAAACATCGGAAAGTGCTTTATCAATTTTGCAATTTCGAGTTCGAATTCTAATTGGTTGGAATAATTTATCTGCAACGAAAGTGACTGAACATATTTATAAAATGATACGTTTATTATAATTTTAAATAAAATCTTGAATTAATGACTTTGTTCCATTATTATATATCTTGTTATCAATTGTATGCAACAAATCCACAATTAAAGCAATACGAATGAACTTAGTGACAAATTAATCAAGATTCTTAACTGTGACTTACTATCATTTATGTTATCGTCTGCAGAAAAATGACCTAGAAGAACTAAATAATTTATTTCTCAATAACTGAACATTAATTTTGAGTAAAATCTCGAATATATCAAGGGACAAAAAGAAAGCTAAGAAAAATGAAAACTAAAACATTGATCGTGCACCGGAATGTGCACCTCGCGAAATAAGATTCATCTTTGCTTCCTTTCGAAATAAATTAAATTTGGAAAAGAAAAAAAAAAAAGGGAACGGGGGGAAGAAGACGAGCGTCGCGAAAATATAGATTTCCAATAATACACCTACGCAGTTTTCTTTATAATCCAAGGATGCTTTATCA